CCCCGGTCGTCGCCGCCCGTCTCGTCGCCGTCCCCGGCCCCCGCCGCCCGTCGTCGCTGCCCCCGCCACCCGTACGCGCCCGGCCCACTCCATACACACACATGCATACACACACACACATACACACACACACACTACACACACACACACACTACACACACACATACACTATCTAGTTTATTTTTAGAATGTTATAAATGTTATCATCGATGAATTAAAAATATGTTAATGTTTAGTTTGAACTAATTGAATTAATATATAGAACGAACTAGTTTATTTTTACTAAATGCTTAGTTGAACTAATTGAATTAATATAACTAGTTTATTTTTAGTAAATGTTTAGTTGAACTAGTTGAATTAATATATAGAACTAGTTTATTTTTAGTAAATGCTTACTTTGAACTAGTTGAATTAATATAACTAGTTTATTTTTAGTAAATGTTTAGTTGAACTAGTTGAATTAATATATAGAACTAGTTTATTTTTAGTAAATGTTTACTTTGAACTAGTTGAATTAATATAACTAGTTTATTTTTAGTAAATGTTTAGTTGAACTAGTTGAATTAATATATAGAACTAGTTTATTTTTAGTAAATACTTAGTTGAACTAATTGAATTAATATAACTAGTTTATTTTTAATAAATGCTTAATTGAATTAATAGAAGTAGTTGAATTAATTGAATTAGCTAGTAAGTGTTTAGTTGAATTAGTTGAATTAATATATAGAACTAGTTTATTTTTAGTAAATGCTTACTGTGAACTAGTTGAATTAATATAACTAGTTTATTTTTAGTAAATGTTTAGTTGAACTAGTTGAATTAATATATAGAACTAGTTTATTTTTAGTAAATGCTTACTTTGAACTAGTTGAATTAATATAACTAGTTTATTTTTAGTAAATGTTTAGTTGAACTAGTTGAATTAATATATAGAACTAGTTTATTTTTAGTAAATGCTTAATTTGAACTAGTTGAATTAATATAACTAGTTTATTTTTAGTAAATGTTTAGTTGAACTAGTTGAATTAATATATAGAACTAGTTTATTTTTAGTAAATGCTTAGTTGAACTAACTGAATTAATATAACTAGTTTATTTTTAGTAAATGCTTAATTGAATTAATAGAAGTAGTTGAATTAATTGAATTAGTAAGTGTTTAATGTTTCGCCTAATATGAACATAGGAAATGTCATCTGACGACGGAAAAAATTTCATTATGTGCGAATACTGTGAAGACCAGCGCGGCCAATG